GAAAGGAAAGAGTATTCAGGAAATCACTTCACAGGACAAGTCTACATTTGAGTGAGAACATCAGAAACAATACTCAAAAATGTCATGTTTTTTTTTTTTTGTTATGTAAACAGTATCACTTATTGATCAGTTTTCCTATTAACACATTTACTAAAAGCTATTTTGTACATTCAAATAGAGCCTAAGGTCTAGATTTACTTACAGAACAATTTATCTACTACGGAGTGAAAGAAAGAGAAACAAAAAAACCTCTTCTCTTTCTGGGCTATAGGAAAAGCTTTACCATTACCAGGTAACTGCATCACTCTGACAAAATAATGATGTACACAAACTTCGTGCCACCCAAAAATATTTTGTGAATGTGCTTTTTCCATCATCTACAGAAAGCCCCAAGCATACATCACTTGTCACCTAAGTCTCAAGTATCCAGGAACATCTAGAAGAGAAACTCTCTAGGAACATGGAAGCCAGCAGAGCTTCCCCACCTCCCAAACCAAGAGTCACAATGCAGTGGTCATCAGAAAAAGGCCATTACACAACTTGGCTACCTGTCAGCTTACACTGAGAATAAACTACTGTTTCTGAATAGTGCTTGATCTCCTTCCACCACTTGCTTCCCCAACCTGCTCCCAAATAACAGCTGGAACAAATCAGATTTGTGAAGGCTTAGTTTCATGTTAAACACATCTACATCTATGATGTTTTACTGAAGAAGGAGAAATTAGCTCATTAGGATGGCAAGTTCTTGTTTGATTGCAACACATCCCAAAAGGGAGGGGTTCAGATACATGACGGGTCCTGGATGCCAGCATGCAACTGATTACTCAAAATACACCACACTCGGTACTCCTGTTCAGAGTGGAACTTCAAATAAAAATCAGTGCATTCAAACATCCATTCAATGGATTCAGAGATCAGAAAGATAATGAGAATCACACAAGTCCTCTGACACACTCATAAGGCTCCAGGGTTAATGGTTCAAACAATTTTATGATGGTGGAATAGGGAGGAAAACGGAAATTGTGCCATTACATCTCATGTCACACACAAACAACTCTAGGAAGGAGCTATAGCTCCAGTAACTCTAGAAGTAGCAACCAAACACAGTAAGCATCCGATGTCTCCTCTTTGGCCTCAATATGGCATTAAGCACTTTTTTGGTAGGAAACTGTACCATGCACACACAACACAACACACATCCCCTCCCCTTTTAACTAGTTCAGTGAAGTCTCAACACAAAGCAAAACCTTTCCCAAGGGCGCAGAGCTTCTCTCCTTCAAAAGACAGCTATGCCAAGGCTGAGGCATATGGTGAAACAGCGTGAGGATATCCACGCAGATGCATCCAGGCATAGCGCTCAGTTTATCTGACAAGAGTGAACTAAGGTTTCAGACTCCCGGATTGTTTACCTACTGCACATCACAAGCAGGCTGGTTATCTTTTTGTTCTGCAGGAAACCTGCTGTTACCAAATCGGGATATTTTTTATCAAACACCAGATCAAATTACTTAGAGGCAGGAGGAGAGGACTAGGACATCAGGACACCTGGGTTCTGCTTTGAAACCTCGGTCCCGTACAAATAATTTAGCTAAGGTTGGCATTTCCCTCTCTCTAAAATGGGAATTGTAACTTACCTATCTTGATTCAGTGCTTGGAAAAGCACAGATGAAAGGATTTTTTTATTATGATTATAATAATTTATCAGCCCAAAGAAAGTTACTCCCAAGCTTATGCCAGTGTGAACAGGCTATGAGCGGCAACAAAGTTTTCCCCAGCTACCTACCTAGTCCTCCACCACTGCCTCTTTTTTTTTTTGGTTGCTCTGAAGCTTTAACAACAGAGCACCGCCACTGTTCATTTGATAAGATTCCACTATAAGCTTATAACAGATGCTTACACGCACTAGAATAAATTAATTACATAAAGAAATTAATGTTAAAAGGTGGCTTTAGAAGTTTTATAAACCTCCTTCAAGAATCTTATAGCAGCATTACAGCTGAGCATAAAGCACGCTAATTCGTGTTGAGCACAGATTGATTTTCATAAGAAGCATATTCATTTCATGAGGATGATTCCAGCTGGCATTCAGCCTTTTCTGCAGGTATTCCCTACAGGTATTCCTGTAATGAAAAATAAAAACCAGGAAGCCTGACCTCTGATATCCAGTATCACATTTACTCTTAGTTCACAACAGACTGGATGATAACAGGAGCTGAAGAGTATCTTTAACAAGTCCAAACGGCTCTCTCCAGGAATTCAACTGCTGCATTACTCCTCTGCTGCTGCAGGGAGAACAAACACTATCATCCCAACCACTGCTCAAGTTTTAGATCAGCAAAACACAAAAAACGAGCGCTCATTCCCCATTATGCCCAACAGATCCCTGCACCATATTGATTATGAGAGAAAGGCTCTCATAAGAGAGCCACAAGAAAGGCTCATTATCAGCATGAAACAAAAGTAGTGCAGAAAAATACAAATATGTTGGTTTTGCAAATGAATTGTTTTGTGATTTATTTGAACCACATCACTTTTTCCATTGCAGTGAGGTGGTATGCAAAGCTACATCCCAATCCAAAGCCTTTTAAAGCCAATAAAAACGTAAGGAATGTAGGCATGTATGTAACATCTTCGGCACTAATGACATGGTGTCCGAATTACGCTGTCCTTGTCAGCAATGCCTGTTTCCCCTATCTGCTTTCTTTCATTTGTAGGTTTCTTAAAAAGAACTTAAACCATCTTCTTTTGTAAACCTAGCACTAAAAGCACACACACATTACAAAATATACACTACAATGCACATAAAAATCTCTTAAAAGAAATGCACACTTCACTTGCACTTGATATTACAATAAAATACCAATTCTTACTGAACTACCTCTCCATTACAGCTATATCCAGCTTTACAGCTGTGGCTTTACAACAAACCAGCACCAGGAGCAGATAAGGCAATAAGCAGCTGCTATGTATGTGTTTTATATGATGATTTCTGGTAGGTAAGAGAAGCCTGTAACCCGAAGTCTTCCAAGTTTTAAAATAAAGCATGCACATTTGGACCAGATATCACAGTGCTTACGTAAGTCTGACAACACAACCGTGAGACTTTATGCCACTCCTTTTGTGGTTAAAATACTCTGGTCTGACTGACGCAGGGTGAGTTATCTCATTTGCCCTTGTCAAAGACACTTAGATATCGATGTTTTTTCAAAGCATTTATTTGCATCTTGGTGCATCTATGCCAAGTAACTTGTGCAGACTCAGGGCAGGACGGCAGGACAGTGGAGACCTGAGCTGAGCTTCCTCAAGAGTTGCTAGTCTTTCTTGCCACCACCAGCTCCCGAAACAACCATCTTATTATTAAGCCTATTTTACCATTACACTATTCTATTCTACCCCATCACCTTTTGGGGGACTGAAGAAGGAAGCAATTGATTACGCAGAAGCAGCAAGGAGATGGCCTACACAGCGAGTGCTACCTACTGAACGAGCAAAATAACACTTTTATTTTATCTCAGTTCGAATCAGGTTAAGAAGAGAGATTTCAGAGAGAAGTGACTTTATTGTCGGTGATGTGTAGAACAGGAGACATAACATGGTGCTGGGTTTTCTTTCAGGCAAAGTGCGTTTCACAGAGAAAAAAAAATACAGCTCAAGTTGGCACTGCAGCGAAGACTCATTCAAAAACCAAACTTGCACAGAAGACTGCACGAGGGACATGACATACACTGGTAAGGGAAAACAGGTTGGGGGACGACTCACAGCTCTACTGGAATGAGAAATCCTGGCCATACTGAAATCATTGGGAACTTTGCCACTGACTGTAAGGGAGCCAGGTTTCACACCCACGCACTGGAGCACGGGCTT